CGCCTAGAAAAGTGAATACGTGAYGACCTCTCGTCCCCGCCTAAAACCGTTCATACGTGACGAACTCTCGTCCCCACCTAACAAAGTTACCACGTAACGAACTCTCGTCCCCGCCTAAAAAAGTAAATACGTGACGAACTCTCGTCCTCGCCTAAAACAATCATTACGTGAAGAATGCTCGTCATAGTCACGCCCCGTTAACTGCCTAAAGCCAACACTAATTCGATATGCAATGCTTTATGAAGAGAACTTATTCTAATAAGCACGTCTTGTTCAATCGTAATTTGACAGTTTTATTAAAGAAATATATGGAAGCTACTTCTTGCTTCCTTTTAGAGAAGGAATCTGATTCAAGAACGAAATAGAAAGACCACTACATCGAAGCGAAAGGCGGTCGATGACGAGTATGCAGGTTGAACGCTTTATTTCCTTCACATGCTTCACGATCTTTGTTTGTAAATACCTTGTTTGTAAAGTTGGTAATTGCTAGAGAAGTCTTTTTTTAGTTTGCATTTGAGTAGATGTAAGTTACAAAAGTTTTTTTACAGGAACTTATGATTTGTTTTAAGCTTACTCATAACACGATAGCACGTGCCCGGGGGGGGGGGTGCTCCCATATATTTGCTATAGGGGGACGTGCCGCTTGCCAGGGTATGGTTTGTAGCCTTGCTGTCTTAAACAGGGTATACACTTCACCCGAAACTGTCTTAACCAATCTCAACAATTTAGATAAAAGACCGAGGCTATAATTTTTTTGTGTCTTGGACAGGGTAATATTTTATTAAAAAATTAATAGTAGAATTCCGTTTCACTGTCCCAGGATTAACGTGTTATCAAAAACGTCTTATTGTCAGTATAATTGCAGTTTTGATGGTTGCGGCGTAGATAGCTATTCTTTATTTTTCCGATTTGTCTTGAACAGGGTATGGATTTTTCCTTTATAGTGTCTTAAACAGGGTCAGGGATTTAGACCGCTGGCGGCACGTACCTATCCAAAACGGGGCCGAGTACCAACCTCCCCCCCCCCTCCCCCTCCCGGGAGCACGTGGAGTCAAAACATTTTAGTTCACTATGTATTCGACACTATATATGTTATTGTAATATTTTCTGGATAATTCTGGTCTGTTTTAAATTTCAATGATGCTTTTAAAATGACAAAAAATTGATATTGATCAGGTAATTTTTTAAGTTAGGGCACTGTGTTTTGAGGCAATGTGCCTGTCTAGACCGCCCTTTCGTCTTGTAAAGCTTTCTACACCCAGTGAAAGAACATTTGTACTTTTCTACATCATCAATGGCCTGGCTTGTGGGGACACTTGGCTTTAAGTGGCCGCTTTCATACAATGGATCACGGTTAGAAATATGTGTCAACGATCGCAACTTGTCCGCTAGAATTTCTTTGGTGTTCTGGAGCTTATCAGTAACACTTAATGCAGACTTGTCATCAGATTCATGGATGTCATCTTCGTTAGCATCATCGTTGTCATCATCGTCATCATCATCATCTTCAATATCTTCTTCTCCAGCAAGATATCTATAATGTCCATTATAATCATGATGAAATTATTGAATGTTGTTCAGTGACTTATTTGTTCAGTGCACTTTATTTGTTACATGTAGAATCACCTGTTAATGGTAAGGGCCAAGGAATCCATTCTGGCTCTGAGTGGTGCATGGCACAATGGGCAAGTGATGCTTTGTGTAATGGCATACAGATGGTCATCCTGTCTGTGGTTGTGTTGCACTAGACAACATTTGTGGAAGGAGTGACCACAATTTAACCTTTTTACATTTGGCTGAGAATCGTAGTCAGCCTGGCATTGGGGAAGGTCACAGAACACAGCTTGGTCGGGATAGATGTTCTCCTAAAATGCAAACCCAAGCGGTAGACATCTTTGGTCAAGTGTAGCATCTAGTGCAGGAAAGTGGAATGGCTGGAAAAAGACATTTTTATTAGCTTCAACATGTAATGTATTTCAGTGTAGCAAGTTCTRTTTTGTGACCATATCTATAATACATTTACCTGGTATTTGCGTCGACCTTTTGGRATTTTTACTGTCTGCCCAATTGTCATCCAGGCTTGTGCAAAAATATCAACAATGCAACCAGCGGCTTTCAATGACAATGTGAGTAGTCTGTCCTCACTCACACCACGGCAATACCTTGGTATAAAGATGGCATTAAATTCTGTCTGGAATCCTCGTGCRCTCAGTAATACATGGGCCTGTTGCTGGATGTATTGTGGATTTRCCCACATTGGCACAGCTCTGTTGAAAGGAAAACATTAAAGTTTGTTTTAGGAATTTGGATATTGAAGGCTGACTACATTAGTCTTGTTAGTCTTGCCTAGAGTTTACATTCTTTGTGTGGCTGCTTTGTTCTATTATATTATCTTCGCAACTTTGAGTGAAAAAMTTCAACTTTCTT